CAATACCTAAGTGCACATACAGGAATAGGAATAACACTTACTGGGCATCAGGCAGATGGGAGGGGAAAGGAGGGGATGGGTATATACATACATAATGAGTGCAATGTGCACCATCTGGGGGATGGACACGCTTGAAGCTCTGACTGGGGGGAGGGGGGGCAAGGGCAACATATGTAACCTAAACATTAGTACCCCGACAATATGCAGAAATAAAAAAAAAAAAAAAGAAGCAGTATGGGTTCCCTAAGGGAAGGTCATTTTCCTCTTTCCCCTTGTTAACACAGTTACTGAAGCTACAGATCAGGGAGAACACTAAGAACCTTGCTTCTAGCAATGAAGTATTTGATGGTGCCCCTCCTGATAGTAATGTGTTGACATGTGAGCTGACTATAACAAAGTTAGGATGTTTGTATCTGCTTACTACCTGTAATAAAAGAGTACTGACTAATGAATCCACACCAATTTGAAAGAACTCTCTGGTAGTCCAACACAAGGTTCCATCCCCAGTTCTACTCAAAAAATTGTTAATGTTTGGATGAGACCATTATATTGTCTCAGTGCTAAAGCAGATGATAGATGACCACAAAAATTCATATAAAATAGATGATAATCAGGATCCAAAAGGAATATGATAATATGGAATTATGGGATGAATCTGAGAAGATAAAATTTCATAGAAATAAACAGAGAGACCTACATTTAAATCCAAAGGTACAAGAAGTAGCAGATCTAAGGACTTTAGTTAACTGTTAGTTCAACAGGGTCAATAATGTAATGTGATTCACAAAAAGAAAGCTGGATGGACATCCAGAATAAGGAAAGAAAAGGGTCTACTCTAGTCCTTGTAGTTCAAATACATGCTTGGAATAGTGAGCTTAATGAGAGGCACAGACACAATAAAGGACATTCTCAGGTTTTCATAGCCAGAGTTCGTAAAACAATGTCATATAAAAAATAAATGGTTGAAAACATGGAATTGTTTAGAACAGGAAAACGAACTTCTAAAATCTGAAGGTCTGTTTTATGAATGGAGAAAGATCCTTGTTTTGACTAAGTAACTAGACTTGCTCTATGTCACTCCAGGGAAAAGGAGGACCAGTTGGTCCTTTTTCAACACAAAGCACAGTTTAACTTAACACAGAAAGTAGTGTCTAATAATCAAAGTTATACAAGACAGGATGGGCACTTTGATGGTGATGTTACAGAGTGGATTCAAAAATAAGGTAAGTGTCTGAATTAGATGACTTTTAATAGTTCTTCTAAATGGACAATTTTAAGATTTTATAAAATACAAATGAATATTTGTGAATCAATACTTTTATTAGTTGCTATATTATTAGTTGCTATTTATTAGTTGCTATTCATTGCTATAAATATTTTGATTAAAAACTATTTCAACTAATATAGATATTAAATTGTATCATTTTAAGATGCCAATATAGCCTAATGTGTTAAAGATAACTTATTAGCACCATT